GGCTGTAATTTAAATGTATCAAATACATGAGAGGGTATCCCCGCAGCCCCCCACCCAGCCAGAAAAAAAACAACTGGATACAGCTGCTCTGGCCAGAGCTTTTATAATTTGCGTTTTTCCCTGTTGGCGAGCATTGAAAAACTCAAGCTCTGAGTGCACCCAGTGGAATCGCTGGGGAAGGTTCTCTCTAGTCACAGTGAATTTTTTTGTAAAAGCAGTTTCACTCAAACCTCATTTTATTGTGATCCCTGATTTAAAGAACAGTGTGTGACTGTGGAATTTTGTTTCCTACACAGGAAAAAATGCTGCAGAAACTGTTGTGATGCTGGAAACAGCTTACAAAGACAGCATTATGGGAAAATCTCAAGTGTAAAAGTGGTTTTCTCATTTCAAAAAAGGTGAGCTGTCAACCTCATTCTGGACATCTCTCAACTTCCCCAAAAGACAAAAGTGTTGGCTCATCGTGTATTTGGAGTCTGTTCCACCAGGTCAGACTGTTAATCAAGCTTTCTGTTGAGAGAGTCTGGAAAAGATTGTGTAACAGTCTGTGTCAAAAAAAGGCCTGATTTGTGGCAGATGGGTGCACTGGTTTTGCCACCACAAAAGTGAACCTGCTCTCACAGCCATCTCAGTGTACCAGTTCTTGACATAAAGCAGCATGCTTCTCTTGCCCCAAAGCACCTCACTCACCTGACCTCACTCCATGAGACCTCTTTTTGTTTCTTCGAATGAGGAGGGACATGAAAGGACAGTGATTAGATGAAGTAGAAAAGGTGAAGAAAAAAAACGCAAGGGAGGTGCTTTCAGTCATCCAAACAGAATGGAATCACAGAATTGACAAGTATATTAAGTGTGGAGTACTTTGAAGGTGATACAGTTGCTTTGTAAAACAAAAAAAAATTAATAGGTAACTTTGAAAAAATTTTCCATTGGGAGGGGGTACCCCCTTGTATTCTTGAGATCATCTCTAAATTCATATGAGGTATAAGCAAGGGCGTACGCTGGCTCTCTTGGTCTTGCTGTAATTTTTTTCAGCTTCAGCTTGAACTTACATCTCAATCATTGCAGGTCTCTTTGGCGTCCACTCCTGGCTTTGTTCTGACTGATGACATTGAGCTTCTCCATGGTCTCCCTCCACATACATAGTCGTTTTGGTTCCTGTGTATTCTATCTGGAGAGGTCTTTGTATATAGTAACCACATATGTTGTTGAGGAAAAAGGGGTATTTTCAATAATAAGTCATTGATTTTGTAAGAATATCACATAATCTCTGGCACTGTTCTATCATCAAGAGTACCAACTTTCACATTGTAATCACCTGTAGTTATCAATGCATTTTGATTGCATGTTTGATCACTTTCAGGCTGCAAATGTTGGTAGAAATCTTCAACTTTTTCATCTCTGACATTAGTGGTTGGTGCATAAATTTGAATAGTAATCATGCTAACTGACCTTCCTTGTTGGTATATAAATATTGTCCTATCACTAGCAGTATTGCATTTCTGGCTAAATCTTGAAATGTTCTAAATGTGGTGCCATTCTTTACCAGTTTGTCATTTCACCACGGTAGACCATATGATTGTCTGATTCAACAGAACCTACACAAGTCAATAATGCTTTGGATTTCTATCTTTAAGCATCCCATTTCATTTTGACAGTATCCAGTGTTCCTAGATACATAGGTCATACCTTCCACAGTCTGATAATTAATGGATGTTTGCAGCTGTTCTCATTTCGAGTGTAGTTATATTAGCAAAAGAAGGTCTCAAAAGCTTTATTGTATTACTAAGGTAAGCTCTATGTGTTAGTCTGGGTAGGCTAAAGAAACAAATATATGGACACACATGTGTGTATAAGAAAGAGGTGTATACACAAGAGCAGTTGAACATTGAGAAAGCATCCCATCCCAGTCCAGTCCAAGTCTATAAGTCCGATACTAGCCCATATGCCCAATACCGATCTATAAAGTCCTCTTCAGACTCCCGAAACACGTGCAATGATGCCGAATGTAGAAGATCACAGGCCAGTGGGCAGAAAGTCTTTGGATCCAGTGTCATTGGAAACATCTCAGCACTGGCAGGGGTCTCTGCATCAGGGTGGGTCCATGTGTCTTGTCAGCTGATCTGTCTCCCAGGGTGTGATCAGAGAGTCTCTTACCTCCAAGGAGGAAAATCCCACATTTCCCGAATTCTCAGGAGAAGGCCATGCCCACCCAGAAGCCTCACTGGCTATGATCCAATTGACAGACTAGACTCTACCCCTTCACTCACGATCCTCTCAAATTGACAATTATATAATTACCCACTCTACTATATGGAAAGAACCCTTTTTGCAGTCATATTTAGATTGCTTTCCAACATAAGAGGCTTATGTTAGACCCTATTCCAATGCTAACCATACGATTTTTACTGGCCAATATTTTTAGGAGTAGATCTCCAAATCTTTCTCCCTGGTCTGTTTTAGTCTGGGAACCCTGTTGAAACCATGGGTGACATTTTTATATTTGAAATGCCAGTGGCATAGCTTCTAGCTCCATAGCAACACACAAGCCACCACAATATGACAAAATGACAGCAGAACATGAATGATGAGAAAGTATTTATTATGAAAATACAATCAGTCATTTTGATGGCATGAAATTTAAAATAATACCTATGAGATAAATATATAACAATTCATGAATTCTTGTCTTTATTTTGTCACTAATAAACCTCACCTGTTTTTTAAAAATAACTTTATTTGTACCATCTTTATTTTTCCAATATGAAAGCATCCAAATATCTCAAAGTAGAAGAATAAGACAGATTCTATGTAACCATTTGTTAGTGTGATTTAAATAGTCAGATATATATTGAGCCTTATTTCTGTATTGACTGGGGCACCTCATATGTTAGGAGAATCCATTTAGGAGATTATTGCAATAAGCTAGGCAAAGAAATTAATCGATGGCTGTGGAGCTGTAAAAAGCAGTAAAATCCTGAAATAATTTGGTTAACATTCTGAAAAGAGGAAAAAACAAATGACACCAGGTTTCTGGCCAGAAGAAGATGCCATACTTGCTTTAGGAGAGTGTGTGGGAGGAAAGCTGGGGGAAATTTGGAAGCTTGGCATTGTCTACCATTCAGGAAAGAGGTCTTTATATTTGGTAGTCATGACCTCAGAGTCTCAAGTTCTCTCTGAGTCAGAGCGGATTCAATGGCACACCACCACAACAGAGTAGAAGTGTGACTGAAATCCTTCAGGTTGTATGTCAGTTCCTAACATTTAATGAAAAAATACAACATAATGAGTTTCTTAAGACAGTAGAAAACATTTGTTTCACAAGACTGGAGGCTAGACATCTGACTGCGATGTTTCAGCAAAGCATTCTCTTTCAGATGGCTAAGAGGATCCCCTTTGCCCCTTCCTAGGGTCTGGTGGCTCCTGGCAATCCTTGGCTTATAGATGTAGCACTGCAACCTTTGCCTCTGTCTTCCCTTGGTCATCTTCCCCTATGTCTCTTCTTTGTGAAAGGGCACAACTTGAGACCTACTCTCCCCGGATTTGACCACATGCTAGCTGGTAATATCTTATTCCCCATTTGGCAGAAACAGACACAGCCTCACTAAAGCAAAATTATAGCATAAGCAGTGAAAAGCTGGTAAAAGAAGGGATAAATGTCAGGAGTATTAGATTGCAGTTAACTCAGGCTGTTGGGTAGGAAACTAATATAACATGTCCAAGGCTGGTATCCTTTTACAAGGATGTTAGTTGGTGAGTTCTATATCTGAAATAAATTCTAAATCATTAGATCAAACTAAATTGAGAAAGTTGATTTTCCAGGGGAATATTGGAGACTATACTAACATGCTGTGTGGATTTTCAAGAGAGATATAGACTCTCCCATTTCAAACATTTGACCAGAGAACCCGCAAGTTTTCTAGTATCCATAACAACTTCTGGAAGTGGTTCTCATCTGAACACAATTTGGGAAACACAATTTTAATATATGGATGAGACTCTTAAAGATGAATGATATTGGTCACAGTTGACAGAACAAGACCTTGACCACACCAGCTTGACTTGCTAATCTCCCTGTGTGCCTTCATTGAAAAAAATTCTATTTGGATTCAATAAATTCACTTTTTAGAAAATGAAGCCACTGCATCATCAAATATTAGCAGAACCATTAAAGTTACATTGCATGTGAATTCCCAAACCCCCAGCTGCCCCAGCCTTGTTATCACTGAATAACTGGAATCAATTATTTTAGAAACTATAATAAGGAAGCTAAAGACTTTACCCTAATCAAATGTTCTGTCTTGAAGGAAGGTGTGAAATTTTGGACCAATAATGATTGAATTTTAATTTTGAGTCTTTCGAGAACATTCCGTTTAAGCACAATGTCTAAGCACAAGGACTCAATGAATGGCTGGGTCTCTGCTGTGGTCGAGCATTGTCTTTATCAACTTACTCCACACGTGAATCCATAGAGTACACTTAACATTGAGAAATCTCACACTGATAAACTTTAAAGATGGTTTTCACTAGTCTTTAAAACTGCGTACTCTCCCAAATTAGACTAATACAGTTAGTTTGCTTTGGCTGAAAGGCAAACAAAATCAGAAACTTCCTAGAAGTGCCTGTCCTTCATAGTCTGTTCACTCATTGTCTCAGGTTCACGCAGAAAGGAATCACACACATTGTTCGGAGCTAAAGAAGGTATTCAGTAAGAACGTGTTCATTAAGTACAAATCGAATTCATATTTCTGTATATACATAGTAATCATTTAAATGTATGAGAAATGTCATTATAATGCTGATGGGGAAACATCCACTACAAAACTGACAGGCACGTCCTCAAATACATCTTACAGAGTGAAGGTGATGCATTGAACTATGAATCTTAATGAATTCTGGATGCTAATGCTTTTTTTCCTATAGAATCATAGAAACAGAAGAATCCATATTTTAACAGATCTACTCTCTGTGACCTGACTGATTGCACTACATCTCCAAGTTTATGGTGAAATCCCAGTAGGCTCCTCTGGGTACAAAAGGAACCCAGTAAAAATGCTGTCATCCTCCGCGCTGGCATACACCCCATTCCAGTCTTTTGAAACTTCCAGCCAGACCTGGTCCCCTGCGTTTAATTTCAGGATGATGAGGAGAGAGGCTTGATCTATTTCCTGCCCATAGAGAGTCTCTCTGGATTTAAACCGCTTCCTATTCTGAGCCACCAGGCTGATTCGAGCAGGGCGACCCCTCACTGTGAGGTGGTAGGAAAACACATATGCGCCGGGCACACGACAGTTAAATTTTCCAGAGACAGGACTGTAATGCCCCGGGTCATTGTAGAGAACCCTGTCGAATTTGATGGGGACGCCAGGAGGAGGGAAGGGCTTGGATAGGGCAGCACTGAAAGCGGCCCGAGCAACTCCAGCTCCCTCGCCCTTGGACCCTTTAAGGCCCCGCGATCCCTTCTTCCCAATAGATCCTCGGCCTCCTTTGCTCCCCACCTCGCCTTTCAGCCCAGCAGATCCCACCAGGCCAGGAGGACCTAGGTCCCCCCGTGCTCCTTTCATCCCTGGATCACCTTTGGCCCCAGGCAGGCCATCCGGGCCTCTTTTACCTTCCGGGCCATGATCTCCCTTGCTGCCTTGGTCTCCTTTCATGCCCGCCTCGCCTTTTTGCCCTTTCCCTCCCTTCTCCCCAGGGTCTCCGCGGTCACCCTTTTCCCCCACCACACCTTTCTCACCCTGGGCCCCAGGCTCTCCGTTTAAACCTGGAGAACCCTCCACCCCTCCATCTCCTTTGTCTCCTTTGGTACCGTTGGCACCTGCGTCCCCCTTTGAGCCCTTTTCTCCTTTCATTCCCGCCAGTCCAATGCTTCCTTTATCTCCCTTGGAACCAAGTCCACCTGAAACAGAAAATTAAAATAGTATTTAAGGCTCACACAGCAAACCCACCACTTACTATTGCCACAGAACTCAAAAAAAAAAAATCGTCCTATCTGAATCCTGGGAACTTAATTCGGCCCTTAGGTGCTCAGCTCCTTCCATGGTGAAAGAGTGGGCGCTGGCCTACAGTCAGGCTCATTCAGAGACACGGCGAAAGAAAGCCCTGGCAAGCTACTTCCATGAAGATTAGAGCCAAGAAAACGGTATGAGGTGCAGTCTCCTCGGTCATCCAGAGGGTCACCATAAACTGGAATTGGTTCACTGGTGATGGGGCTTTGTCATCAGGTTTCTTGTTTAGAAGACTCGTACATTGAACAATTTATATAAAGTTTCACAAGAAGTCAAGTGGCTACTGCTGAGAAACAATATGCTAAATGTAGACCTCATATATCTAGTTCTTCTTAAGGAAATAGATCATATTACAGCTACAGTTGCTCTTGTATTTCATTCCCCTGTGTGTTTTGGCTTATTCCAAGTATTCTTCAAAATCTACATAATATCCATCCAAATCCAAAATCTTACAGGGAAAAATAGACCTGAGACCCAGAAAAATGTGAGCATCTTCATCCCCAAGGACAAAGAGAAAAAAATCATCTTATCTTTATATTTATATATCTTTATCTAGTCTCCAAACTCCAGACCAGGACTACTTATACTGTATCTAATAAGTACTCTGAATTATTAGAAAAACTAATAATTATTATAAAAAACGTATAGTAATTCATGTCATATTTTAAACATGACTGTTCACAATAGCTGGGTTTTATCTTCTACCTTGTTCTCCAGGTTTTCCTGGATAACCGGCAATCCCATTTGCTCCTTGGTCCCCACGTTCTCCTTTAAGTCCTGAAATGAAACAAAAATTAAGTTTCATTTGGCAATTGAGTCATTTAAGATAGCCCAAAGACCTATTTCACAAAGGTGACTTTAGGATGTTCCTTTTACCAAAATAATTGAATGCCAAAAGAGTGTGTGGAGAAAGAAAATATATTGAGTGACATTGTTGTCACCACTAGGCACCTTCAATTTGATTCAATCCATCCTGACACTACCCACAGTGGAGTGAAGCACTGCCCAGTCCTGCCCAGGTCCACAATTGTTGTTATATTTGGGCCGAGTGGTGCAGCCACTGTGGCAATCCATCGCCTTGACAATCTTCTTCATTTTCACTGACCCTCTGCCATAACAAGCATGATATTCTTCTGCTGGGACCGGTCTCTCCTGATAACATGTCCAAGGTATACGAGAAAAAGTCTCATCATCCTAGCTTCAAATGAGCATGCTGGCTGTACTTCTTCCAAAACAGGTGTGTTTGTTCTTTTGTCATTCCAAGATACTTTGAAAATTCTTTACCCATGTCAAAATTCTAATGTATTGATTCTCCTTGGTCTTCCTCATTCACTACCCAATTTTCTCATGCATACGATGTGATTGAAAACACCATGGCTTGAGCCAGGCTTACCTTAGTCTTCAAAATGATAGCCTTGCTCTTTGACCCCTGAAAGAGACCGTGTGCACAGATTTGTCCCATGCAACACATCCTTTGCTTCCTTGATGGCTGCTCCCAAGAACATTGACTGGGGAACCAAGCAAAATGAACCCCTGGACAATGATTGTTTTCTGTTTATCATGATGTTATCTATTGGTCCATTGGGAGGATTTTTGTTTTCCTTGTATTAAGTTTTAATCCATACTGAAGGCTGCAGTCCTTGACTTTCATCAGCAAGTGCTTCAGTTCTCCCTTTCTTTGAGCAAGCAAGGTTGTGTCATCTGCATATCACAGGTTGTTTTACAAACCTTCCTCCAATCCTGAGAGCCATCCGGAATCCTTTATTCTACCGGATGGTAAACCCGTTAGGGGAGAATTGGGGCCGTGCCATTCTCTTCCACTGAATTCATCATTTCCCTCTGCAATTCCCTAGCTTTCTAAACCTCTTACAGAACTCATAACACCCTGCCTTTGCATTTCATATGTGTATGCATATCTAATATTGTTTTTTAAATCATATATACTTTTCAAATGACAGTTGAAAGGACTTCTTTTTGACATGGCCACAATGCCTGAGAAAAAGTGCCACGTGCTACACTAGCGTCAATGCAGAGCACGACATTCACAGTTGCTCAGAACTAATCACATCCTAGATACATCCAGGATGGAAAAAAAAAAATTGCCCTTGACAGAAAGCATCAGGGAAAAGTCGATTTTCATTTGTGTTGCTATATTTTTCATATACTCTTTGGACCAATTATAACCTGTGTTTTGTGTTTTAAAAAATTGAAAGAACTGTATTTCTAGATATTTGTCATCTTGCCATGACATGGGTTTTTATATTGGGTCATGCCCAAAACTCATCCTGCCACCGTGAATTATACCAGCTTTAATCATAAATAATAATTGCAATAAAAAATAATAGATAACTCCACTTGAGCACTTACTTTGTACTATAGATTGCCCCAAGCCTTTACATGATATTTTATATTAATTTTTATTTAATAATTAATACAGCATTTCATGAGAGGCTTCTAGAACAGAGTACATTCCATTAACTGAAACATTATTCATTTATGGACATTTATAGGACCTCCCTCTAAGAAAAGTAGAGCAGATATTTTTACTACCAATGTATCACAGAAAAAATTTGAAATATAAAAAAATATTCAAAATATACACCAAGCCAAACGTCAATGCATTATTATTGAACAGAGCACTTGTCAACTTTATTATTTATCACTTATCTAACTTTAAAAATTTTGTCATTCACAAAGACATTCTGAGTTAGAGCCAAAGTCCTGAGTGTAGATCCCCCCAAATTTCACAAGAACAACACAGAAAATCCCAATATTGGCCAGTCAATGGAGTTTTTAAAATTTATTATGACACCACATAAAATACTCAATTTAGAAGTGATCCCTTAGCCATAAGGTAAATATTTGAATGACTTCTGAGAGAATTCAACCTTGAATGAATTGGATCCTCAGTCTTTGTCAGTACTCCAAGACTGACCCTCCCTGCACGGGATAAATCTGGGTCTCAAATGCATGTAAGTCGTTTAATTGCTTAAGCTGCACTTACTCATCTCAGGTAGTGATTAACCAGAACGCAGTCAGTCAACTCCTTTTCTTTAACCTTTAGAGCATAGTCAAGAGTCTAAACTGAGCCTAGAAGTAAAAGGGAAGTCGGGTTGCCACTTCATAAAGAGAGACTGGCTGAATGAATTTCTACTTTTGATCCTTCATCAAAGCATATTCTTAAGAACCTTATCGCATGACTCTTGCCTGTTTTTTCTTCTACTTCCAAAAGTCTAACTTCCAAAATGTATGAATCACTAGGGAGGTCCATCACTCATCTTTATTTCACAGTTTTCTGCTAACATAATTCAGCCACAAAAGGATTCAATGTTTCCGAGAAAGAAAATCGCGTAACTGACAAGTGTGCAGTAGCTCTCTCTTACCTTAGCATCGTTTTTGAGTAATTACTTCACTGAATGTTCCACCAGAAATGAGTTAGGCAGTTCCTGAGCCATGTGGAGGGTGATGTATAGATGATATTAGGTCTTTTGACATGTGACACTGAGGCTAAAACATTGAACTTGATGGATATATGGGATTTCTCCAGGCTGGCAGTATTCACGGAGGAATTTCTGAATGTCCCAGTGAATCTGTAACCTTCCTTCAACACCTTTAAGCACTTACACAATCAGGGATTTCCTGGGGCAGGAAGCCCTCTTTACAGAATACATCTTTGGAATTACAGAATTTCCGAGCCAGAAAAGAACTATGAAAGTACTCATAACTATAAGTCTTCATTAATAGCAGACAGGGTGTAAGAAAGTATACAGTTCATTCCCCCCAGTTTCCAGGAGAGGTAAAATGACTTGTCCAAGGTCATGTTATATGCTTGATCGCCTCGATTTTAGTTCAGTTTTTCCTTCCCACCTTTGACACTATTCCACAGTGAGCAAAAAGACATATCATAATCTCCTTAGCAAGCAGGTTACCCACCTAAACTGAATATTTTACCTAGTAGGAAATTAATTTACATGATGAGGAGTGCGCATGGAGGCATTATATCAGAAGGGAACTGTGGCTTCCAGGGACTGGTCAGCTAGGTAGAATGTGAAAGTTGAAAAGCTGTGTGTGTGTGTGTGTGTGTGTGTGTGTGTGTGTG